TAAATTACACACATGCATACATACAACTGCCCCTTGTTGATTTAGACACCTGTGCACCCACTAACACCTGCACGCACACTTTAAATAGTATAATCATTGCATGTATGTATATATTTAAAAACATGCACCAGCAAAATTGATTGGCCTTTGTGACCTTCACAGGTGCTAGTATGAACATGTGTACAAATATTAGACTATTTAAAGTGAGCATTCAAGTATTTTGCATCTGCAATGTACAGGTGCAGGTATGTGAGTATTTCTTTACTACCAAAAATAGTTGCCAGCCGTAAACCTTTGCTAACTGAGGAATGTTACTGCTGTATTCATAGTATTCTCTAGGCATTTCCTATAAAAGTACTGCAAGTACCATGCTGGTGTTATTTAGTTATTAAAAGCAAAGGACAGAAGATTGAGAGATGACCTCTCTACTTGGAATTGTACTGGCGTCTTTCAATTTACTACAGCACCTAGCACAATGGAGCCTTGACTCTTGTAGACTTCCAGGAATTACTGCAATGTAAATGCCTGATAGCAGAATTTGTTGGACCCGTATCAGTCTATGCTTCTGTCAATACAGAGCTCTGAAACCAGTATGTAAGGGGCTTGCGTGAACCTTAAGATATCGGCTGTTTCTGGGTCAAATTCTCTCTTTTTAAATTTGTTCTTTTAGGATAAGCACAAAAGAGAAAGATGGGGAGGACGGGGGACGACAATGTCTGTCATTTTTTTAGTGAACCCATCTGGTGGAGGTGAAGAGTAGCACTGATAGAAGTCAGAGAGAACCTGTCCCCACTAAGTGAAGGCAGATAGAATGAAGAGTCTCTGGGCCAAGAGTGGAAGAGACTAGTAGATACTTATTGGTCTTTCTTTTTGAGGAAAATAACCTTGGCTAAGATGTGATACTAAGGGTATAATGGGCATTTCTTGGAAACCTAGCCTGTTTGTTAAAGCACTGCTTTGGAGTGATTTTTGATCCTATCATTACTTGAAGTAGTCACAGCATAAGTTTTCCTCCATGGTCTCCCACCCCCTAGGAGTTTTCCAAAGTCCTATTACATGTTATTTATATGTTCTGGCTCTGGGGAAACCTTTGCCCAGGCACCCACTCCAGTATTCCTGGTACATAGTAGGTACATGGCTATACCTCCTTCCAGGTAGTTTGTCTTCAAATGCTATTTTTCTCACTCCCTGCCATAATAACGGCGCACACGAATGTCCAACTTTCTAAAGTGAAGCAATGCCACCTCATGCCATTAATTGCTAAGATGCACTTGATACCTTCATTTCAAATCTCCCCGTAACCCCTTGTTTATCCCTATATCTGTTGCTACAAATCCAGTTGCTACTATCTTTGACGCTGCTTCAAATTCCAGTGAGAAATACAGTTATATTCTCATCTGGCAACTTCAAAAAAAAAAATGTCCAAGGGAGACCCAAGCTTGTTCAGAATGATGCTCGGATGATGATTCATTCTTTCATAACCATGCAATTGGATTATTGTAATGTTCTGTTTTCAGCTTTTCAAAATGCCACTGCTCACATGCTTACTAGCACTATTAGAGATTTAAGCAATTTAAATCTTGTTCTCAGAGAACCACGGGCTTCCATGCAGAGAAAAAGCATCTAAAATTTGCTTTACGACATATTGAGCCTTTTTTGGCACAGTACCATCCAATTCTATTACCCCAAAACACTAAACACTTAACTAATATTAGCATTTTGTTGGCCATGTACTAATTCCAGATTTCTTTTTGTAAGAAAAATGAAGTGAATTTAATTGTTGGATTGGCTACCCTGGGTTTGTCTGTAGACGAAGTACGGGAGGAACAATGGCAGTGCACATTTGTCAGGGTACCCCAACAATTTGCCCTGCCAATGGAGTTATTCAGTTGCCATGTCCATTCATTTATAGCATCTTAACTTGAACTGCCAGTTATAATGGTGGTTTTAAGCTATAGAAACTGATCCACTGGGTTCTGGACTGAGATCACAGACTCATAACTACCATTTTTCTTTAACTGGGACTATTGAATTGACTTTTCCCTGCCTGAGGTTACACAGCAAGCCCCAGATCCACAACCGAAATACCTTTTGAGGATCTGGGCCCAGGTCTGTCCTAGAGCTGAGAATTGAACCCAGGTATCCTGCGTCTAAGTCCAGTGCCTTAATCACAAAGCCCTCTACCTCCCTGCTTGTTTCCTTCCTCCCTTTCTCTTTCTAATATCCCTCCCTTTTTGTTCTCCCCCACCTCAAACAGTTGGCAAACTCTCTAAGGCAACCAGAAATGGCAGAAAGCCATGTTCCCTTGCTCCTGACTATAGTGTTGGGAGCTCTTCATGCTGAGTTAATGGAATCAGGTCCACTCCTGAACAGCTTTTTGTTATTGATGCTCCACCTTATATATGCTGCATCTGAAGAAGTGAGGTTTTTACCCACGAAAGCTTATGCCCAAATAAATCTGTTAGTCTTTAAGGTGCCACCAGACTCCTTGTTGTTTTTGTAGATACAGACTAACACGGCTACCCCCTGATACTTGACACCTTATATATGTCAGCAGCAAAGTGGAAAGCATTGATCAGAGGAACAGTTTTAGAGGGCAGGGACCCTTCTAAACATGTTTATAGGGAAGTTAGGGTCCTTTGAGGCAAGTAGATCCTAGAAATCTCCCCTTCTATCCGTGAGAAACTTTGCGCAGAAGTCACTACAGTCCTTGCTTCCTCTCTGGCAAGCTCTAATTAGTGCTATTCATCCTATAATTTCACCAGCACCAAAACTCCCCAGGAACGTGTCAAATGCTTTAGTAGTAAAAAAAAAAAAAAAAAAAAAAGCATTTTGCAATGGGCGTATCAGAGGATCAATTAAAAAAAAAGGACTTGGATTTTTTTTTATAGTGTATGACATTATTTTCAGTAAATACCTGCTCTTTGAACAGGCATCTAAAAACCTGCAATTCGTTGACATAATCTCTTTAATAGGTTGCAGAGATTGCTTTTCTCCCCGATATTCCATTTGTAATGCATACCTTTTTTAGCATTAGTAATTCATTTTAAAGCTTTCAATTTGGTTTAAATGTATTTTGGATCAGGCCCTGAATTTCATTTTTCTTCTGCCTAAGTAGGGGATTTTTATGCAGAGGAAGGAAATCAATAATTTGTCACAATAAATCAGCTCCCATTTGTTTTCGGAGTGTCCATTCTATCACTGTGATTATCTGTTCCTTCCTTCTCTTGAGGGTATTTTAGGATAATGAAAATAGACAACCCATATACCTTTAATCTTTACTGTTTTACAAATTCTTTTATGCAGATTGTTTTAATCTCTACTCAATTATAACCATTCGTAAAATGGATTACCACAAGTCTACTGCTCTATTTATTTCAAAATTAATAACCACTTTGCACACACTCTCTATAACAACACAATTGTTACATCTCAAAGGAGTGTATTTTTCTCTGTTCCTCAGGGAATGTCTCCTCCTTTTTAAAATAGGATGGGGCAACTGAAGGAGTTTATCTTTCTGAGTGATATATTAATAAATACATTTGTGTAAACCTGCAGAAATACACAGTAACTATCATAGGATCCAGTCTTCTGTGTTATTTATTCCCATTAGAGTTTTGAAAATTGACTCTTTGCAGGCTTTTAATGCTTATTTTCTAAAGAACTCAGTTTCCACCCCCTTTTAAAGCTCTATCTTTTATATGAAGCCCTGCTAGTGCATTGTGTGTCCCCCCACCCTCCTCCTTGACTGCCTTATTTAAATGACAATATTCATTCTTATAAATGTTTTGCCCATAAATTGAGCTCGGAATATCTCGTTGCGTGCTTACAACACTCATAGGTTGCATGGGCTGTTGCTTTGTTTCTTTTCCTCTCCCTGTGCTGGAGGGTTTGAGAGTTTATTGGACAGAATATACATCCAGGTAGGTTACACACACACATAATGTGATGAAACCTGGGTCACAAGAATACTTCTCATGACCCGACATGTGTTTGCTTCCTCATGCAGCCACCAATAGAGGAAACCATCGAAGTCCTTACTACTTTAACTGCCAGTACATCATTCATTTCTTTAAAAGATCTGAATTGGTTTAGCTTCCTTTTACTCCACTGGCTCAGGAAAGAAGGTCTTGTTTGTGCATTCCCTGACACGGATTTATATTTCCCTCTGCACAGGGAAAAACGTGGTCGGCTCTTGCATTTTCTGTGCTGCTCAGCGTGCCCTCATCTCAGCTCGAGTTCAGACCTGGACCCCCTCACTGGACACATAACACAAGGTCCTTGTAAACATAAACAGTCGCGTTCTCACCATGGCAGTGGCGAGGGAAGCAAGCCTAGAGTCCCCCGGAGTGTCACCCACTGCCCTTTCCTGGCGGGTCCCGGCGCCTTCTTTAAAGACTTGATTAGTGCACTGTAGTCTGGTGGACACTGGGATCAGAGCACTGCTGGTCGGTTATGGGCTGGGGAAAGCCCGTGCAAGGAAGGCAGCCCCGGTCACGGTGTACTACTGATGTCAACATTTGGGACTGGAGCATGGGGCAAGGAGCATCTCCTGCCGCCTAGCTCAGCACTGGCCCCCAAGGGAAACAAGCCTTTCGCCCCCAGGGTAACACACCACAGGGGCAGCGCTGCTGCTGATCCCAGCGCGTGTGTCTCCGCGGGCTCCCCCTCGCCTTGCCCCGGGAAATGGAGGAATTCTCCAGGGTGCTGAATCAGGCAGCAGCGGGAACCGCTCGCCTCGGGTTAGCCCTGGCCCAGCCCCCCCCCCGCACGTGATTGGCAGCGCTGCAATCTCACCTCGGCCGGTTGGTGCTTTCCTGGAGCCGCCGCTGAACTAGCGGCGAGGAGGAGCTGACAATGCAGATCTGGCCGCGAACCCCCCGCGCACAGACCCACCCGCAGCAGCTCACGAGCCGCCCAGCCGACTTCCCCCGCCTCGCCTCCTCCCCGCGCCAGCTGCCGAGGGAGCGCACACGCTGATGTATTGCATTCAGCAGCACCCTGCTTAGCCTCCCCCCAAATCTTTACTCTCCTCGGCGGCGGGTTAGTGTATTTATTCTCTCCCTCTACTAGGCAAGAGCCATGAAGGGAGGCTGCATTACCCCGGGGACGATCGCTGGGCTCTTTTGCCCGGGTCTCCTTCTTTTGGCATCCGCTGAAATAGCCGTCTACACGAATCATTTTTTGGTGGAGTTGCACCGAGGGGGCGAGCCAGAAGCGAAGCAACTCGCTGCCGAATATGGCTTTAGTGGGGTCCGAAAGGTAAGAGCCTCTCGCTGTTTAATTGCATTGACAATTAAGGCCGTGGCGTGGTGCATTGTTTTGATAACAGCCGCTGCTGCAAGTTGATGAGATCGCTGCACGCATTTTATAACATAGCAGGATACATCTTCAGACAGAGCCCTGTTGGGTTGTGTGTCCCCCTCCCCCTCATATGTTGTGTAATTAAAATGCCCTTCAATTTGTACTAAGGTCATGCTTGAATGTTGTGGGTCTATGCACCTGATAACTGGTAGTTTTCAGAAAGAGAGCAGGAAATCATTTGGTTGAACACACCCCTCCATCAGCCCAGCTAGCAAGTTAATGTAAAGGAATGAAAACAAATAAGAGTTGTTTTAAAATTGCTCCTTAATTCCTGTGGTGTAACATATTGAAATAGTGGATTTGCAAAGATCCACTACAAGCTACTCATCAGTGGTGACACGATATGATTCAGATCAGTGCTTCTTGGACTAAAAACAAGGAGTTTCCCCGCATGGTTAGTTTAGTACCTAGTAATTGCTGTGTAAACATCCTCCAATTTAACTCCCATCCTGAAATACTATTAAGCAATTTCTGGAACTGAACAAAAGAATGCATGGTGCACACCCATCGCTTCCTAAAACCTACATACAGTGATCACTAATGGAAATTGCTTAGAAACTGCACCGCTATAAAAGATTTAAAGGTAACTAACCGAAGGAGCTTACATAACTTACATGTGAGGGTTCACATTTGCTTTGACACTCAGAGCCAGGCTGACAGAGGCATCGATATTCATGGTCTTCTCTAAGAGCAATGTGAGATTTTAAGACAAGAGAACTTGATAAAAGGTAATGCAGGATCGTATACAGTTATTTGACCTGGAGAACTTGAAGCACCTTTTGACATTGTTTTGTTTCTGGTTGCTGAGAAGTCAACCCAGGCAAACCCAAACTGGCAATCTCTCCAGATCAAACGTGAATTAAACCTAGATGTGGATCTCTTAATCCAGGTTAGCTGAATAATAATAATAATAATAATTAATAATATAATTAATAAATAGATTAAACTATGGAACAGGTTTGATTAAATGCTTGAGGTCAATACAACTGTAGCAGTCAGGGTAAGGGTAAACTCCCAGACGGGAGAGGAATTGTGTTAGCATTGCTGCTCTTAGGTGTTTTTGTTTTCCCAGTAGTTATGCAATAAGAGCCTGATCCAACTTCCATTGTACTGAATGGGAGTCTGGTCATTAACGTCAGGGAGCGGTGGATTGGGCCCTTCCATTAAGATCAAAACCAATGTGTAGTTAGACTGCCTTCTCCAGAGCAACTAACTGCATCTGGGCTGTATTGTGGCAGCTCCACTGAGGTTTCATTAGAGAAATTAAGGCAAAATAAATTACCACTTTGGCCTCATTCCAACTCTGACTCTGATACTGTGCTGGTTGGTAATACTGAAATCCTTGTTCTGTTAGTAACAGGAATTCATTGCTGGTGCCTTTTGGAAGTGATCCTGTACCTGAGCCTCTGTATACTGCTGGGGTTTGTTGGATGTGACACTTTGGTCATCAGTCTCCCCTGTTCTTCCCAGCCTGCTCCTTCACCACCATGTCCTGGGACCTGTCACTGCTTGTGCTGACTAGTGAGGTTGTGGGTCCCTGGCAGTGCTTATTTTCACCTTTGCTTTTTTAATGTGTATATTCTTATGATCCAGGTGGGGAAAATTCAGAGGAGAGAGAGAAGGAGGTGGGGAAGGGCCACTCCCCAGCAGCCTGGGGGCGAGAGTCCTGATCCTGTCTGAAATCCACAGCCGGGGTTGTGCAATTTCACACATCTCCTATGCATATTAAAAATTGTCCCAGGTATATTAATTTTAGATTAAGAACAAGCCTGGCTCCTATTCTTGTATCTTCTCACAACAGAGAGCCAAGGCAAAGTTCCTGGTCTCCTAAGGTGTCCAACAGAGCACCTGCTTTCCATATAATCTGTGCAGAGGGAGCTATATTCCATGAACGTGCTTCTATTTAGGAGTAAAACCTTCCAGGTAAAAAAGACAAAAGCAGTGCCAGGCCAGCAGACTAGCCCACAGCGATGTGTGTGCACTCCCAGGAATCATGCTCATAAACTATTCTGCTGTGGTTCACACACTGCACTGAGAGACTTCTAGGTTACGTGATGTTATTCCCAAACAACCTGTGCCTTCTTCCACCCCCTCCCTACACTCTCTCTCTCTTTCGGGGCAGAGGAAATATCAGTGCCGTTTTTAAAATGTGTTGCATTTAGCAAGGTCTGTAGCAGAGGATAATACAAAGGAGGCTGATTACTATCTTCACTTTGACGGGGGGATCCTCACTATGTCTGGCACAGCGTTTGATGGCTCTGATTCAGTGCGCCGATCTCTGCTTCCTTTTGGCTTGTGCCAGCTGCTCTGGTGCTTTTTCAGTATTTGTGAACTCAGGAGACTCTTATCTATCATGTCTTCACTGGTCTTATCTAGTGTCCTTTCAGATCTTGATCCTGCAGAGGCAACTTTAATGAGACTACTCAGTGCAAAAAGTTAAAAGAGGGCAAATGTAGCGTATGTCTATGCAGAATCAGCGCCTTCGGTTCTGAACTCTTCAGGATAGGTACCTACAACTATGGGCACTATATGAATAATAAACAGCCAGTTATTTTAAATAGATCTTTTTATTGCAAAGTTCTAAATTGTATAATGAAACATACAGAAAATACCCAAAATATTAAACTATATCACAGATAGCTCTGATCATGGTTACATTCTTCAACCACAAGGGTCGTGTTTGGCAGTCTGATAAATTATTCACTCAAGCCAAATTCTGCCCTCCGTACTCATGTTGAATAGCACCTCACTCTGCAGGTAATCACATTTATTTCAAGGGTGTTTCTTGCAGAGGAGGTGCTTTTCACCAGGAGTAAAGCTGGCAGAGTATAGCCCTCATTTGGTAATATATCATACTTATTTGGTCTTATATCTGTCTCTTCACAGGCACAGAATATCATATATGTAAATATAGGATACATATGGGAGAGGTGGTTTACCTTTTACATAATTCAGACAATATTTTTTTAAATAATTTAAGCTATTGGTTTCATAGAAGACTTTTAAAAATATCTAATTCAATGTATGCAAGGTTCATTCATAACTGCCAAATGAGTTAATATAGAAGGTTGTTTAGCAGCAGATTTCCAGTGAAACATAACTGAGAAATTTGTAATGAGGGCTAATATTATGCATTCTAGCTGTTCTTTGACAGGCCAGACCCCCTTTGGGTAGGTCTACAATGGAAAAAAAAAAGTGTGTTCTTACCTTTGGTTAGCTAACCCTAGTTAACTAATTCAGGCTGAAATGGCAGTGAAGATGCAGCAACTTGGCTCTTAACTCTAGTCAGAAGCTCAAGTTCAATCTTTGGCTCCCCTGTGGCTTTTAACTCCAGCTCCGAATCTGAGTTAGTTATAGTCCATATTTGGGCACCTAAATAAGTGGCTTGATTTTTTTTCTAATGCGTCGTGCCCAAGGACTTCAGTGGGAGATGCTGGGTGCTCATCCCTCTTGAAAATCAGGTGCCTAAATATAGATCTGGGATTCTGGCATTAGGCACGGATTCTTGAAAATCTTAACTTGAATTTATCTTATTTCAAATAATCCTAAACTCCCTTCTTTGCTTTAATTACATTTTAATGATGTACTTTGATTTGTAAGGTTGAGAGCTTTCCAATTCATCTGCACCTTCCTAAAACAACTCTAAAATTCCTCATAAAATGGTCATTCTTATAAACCACATTCATTTCTTCATGTTCCCACTCCTTCCAACCCTAAACATTCAGAAATCATGAGATTTAAAAACAAAACTGTTTGGAGGGCTCTTTATTTGCTTTTGAACCCTCGAAGCACTCTTGCATCACGTTTTCATGCTCTTGCCCACAACCCTGAAGGCTAGGAAATGAAAGCTGAGCATCCAGTGTCCAGGACTTGAAGAACAATAGCAAATATTGTTAGACTCACGAAAAAATTGTAAGACTTGGCAACTCTGCATACTATACTTCGCACAGAAAAGACGGTTAAATGATATCATACCTCTCACTAGTCCATTATACAATCAATAAATTGTAGTTGGAAAAAAAAGATTGTCACCTAATCTCTAGCCATAATGAAGCAGGATTGTTCTATATTTCACATTTCCTAGTGTTCGTATTCTCTATTCAAGAAAATTAAACTTTGGTTTATTAAATGAAGCAATATTCACAAAATATCCGTGTTTCCACAATAGAGCTTTTCTCAGTACAGATGACAGAAACAAATATTTAAATTCTGCTTCTTGATTTTTGGCATCCTCATTCCCAGTTCTTAGTTCTTCTCTCATGAGGCAGTTGCAGATGGCAGTCACAAAGGTCACCTAATCATTACAGATTTGTGTGCAAGTTTTTAAGTAAGATCTACTTCCCTTCACATTTTGTTTTCATTAGCTACATATCTCATAGTCATGACAAAATGCCACCATGTCTAAATACTCCACCTTCACTCATCTTGCAGAGGTGAAATGCTTTGATCAATCAGTGGTCAGTGTCCTAAAAATCTCAAAACATTTTGTGTTTGCTGCTTCCAAACTATGGGCCAATCCTGCATTGGCTGAAAATATGTAGAAGAGCTGTGCCAATGCAGAAAGCAAAGATACATACCTGAGCAGGCGGTGGCTTTGCTCCCCATTTTGCTTAACACCAGCTGGCCTAGCTGCATGTCTTCATTTCTTCCAACAAGTGCTGCACACAGTTTGGGGATTTGCTCTGAGTGCAAGGGTTCAAAAAAGAGCCAGATAAGTTCAGGGAGGGTAGGTCCATCAATGGCTATTTGCCAGGATGGGCAGGGATGGTTTCCCTAGCCTCTGTTTGCCAGAAGCTGGGAATGGGCGACAGTGGATGGATCACTTGATGATTACCTGTTCTGTTCATTGCCTCTGAAGCACCTGGCATTGGCCCTTGTCAGAAGACAGGATACTGGGC